ATAAGAGGCCAGCAGGCCAGCACTCTCCACACATGGCTGGCCTCATGCTCGACACTTGTCTCAAAGAACAAAAAAATATATATATATCTTGAACATCTCAACCGTCGTCACTCACAGATTCGCTGCTTCTGTCCCTCTTCCCTTTCGAGATTTCAATTGCAACGTTACAGTAAAGTGCAGAATGATCAATATCATAAAGGTTACTTCTCATCTTCTCCAATCGTTTCATCTGATTCTAACTCATCAACCTCAAAAGTTACAATGACAAACCTCTCTCTACAACTAGAAATCTCTGGCCGCTTCAATGGCGTCTTTGGTTGATTCCGTCACCGTAACCCGCGTGTTTATTTTTCCGATCGCATCTTCGATTGGTGCCGTCGGCAGGAAGCCGGATTTCTCCAGTCAAGTTAATGAAACCAAAAGGTTACAAGGCTTCGCCGAGTCAGGGGTGAATCACATATCTAGATACGTTCACGGTGAACGAGTCGTCTCCGAGGTTCATGACACCATTGCCGCCACCGTCGAAGGTATATACAACAATTTTTTTTTTGTGTGACAGGGATGAATCGCTCTCCATTAACGAGAGAGATGATAAACAAAGTCTATAAGACGAGTTTGTTTAAGTACTTTTTCAGTTTCTCCTTCTTTGTTAGCTTATGTCATATTTCACTCTAATTATTTTCACGCTTTTAATTGTGTGTTTTGTTAAAAGTTTTCAATATGTTGAGTCTCTGGTTTTCCTTTTTCTGTGATTTGACCAAGTTTGGCGATATCCAGAGGGTGTGGTAGTCCCTAAAGTTACACGTTCTTACCCTTTTCATTAACTCACTATGTGCTCAGCTCACCAGTGCGTCTATTCTATCACATATGAACTGATGTTTTGGTAATAACACAGAAACCCGTGATCTGCTTCCTAATTGAATGCCTCATTTCCCCCAAACTTTGTGGCTTTTACATCCTTGGATCATGTGACGCCCACATGGAAGGATACTTGATATGTTCCCCCGCCAAAGATGCCTTGGCTATCAATGAACGCAACACTTCTCATCCAACTTGGGCTTATGTTGAGTAAATTGTATACTTCTCACCGTTGATTGAGGTAGGAGCTAATGCAATGAAATCAACCATTTCATTGCTACTAAACTAAGTAAAGGGTTTGTTACTTCTTAACTATTACCAATTTGAAATTCAGATACTTATGTAATGTGTGTATCAGAGATTTTTTTTCTTGTTCAACATTTTAATTTTAAATATCAATGAGCACTTTAGCTCAGAGTTGTGGAGTAAGTGTACTAACAACTACGACACCATTGCAAGGAAATGTATCATCTCGTCTATCGCTGTTTTGAAATCTTCACATTTCGTATTACGTAATCTTTCTCTTATTGATGAATTTTTTTGTCTTATTAACACGCAAATGGTCAGAATGAATGGAGTGGAATCAATGGAACACGGGTCCTATAGTCGACATGAAAGAGTCAAAGAGAGCAAGGTAAGAATAAAAAGCTTTGTTCTCTGGTGAGTCTATGTTTACAATGTATGGGATGTTGAGCCAAAACACTTAAAATTTGTAATAAGATATGGGATGTTTACAATGTGATGGCAAACGTTTACAGCAATCAAAGTTGTGTGTGCATGCTTTTGAGGATTTCAAACTACAATTTCAGCTCATCTTCTTCTTTTACGAGATGATTCCAATCTCTTGAACTCGAATCGCCTATTCTCTTGCTCGCACATTTTCGTCTTCGTGATTAAATATGGTAACGCTCAAAGCTACATTCTCTCACATTAGTCGAATATGGCTCTTTACTCTAAATTAAGATGAATTTGAAGCTGCCTCTGTGCTTGATTTGATTTGATTCGATTTAGGTTCACCGCGAGTGAGTAGAGGATGGAGTTACCGTTCGAGAAGATGGAAAGACTGTGATGCGAATGAAATCTAAATATTAGATCAAAATGAAGGAGCTCATGAATAGATCCAGTTAAGCATCTCTATCTCCTTTTATCCATATTGATTTTATACTTCTTTAGTTCATACTCAACAAGCGTAAAATTCCTTTCAAAAGGACAATTTTAAAGTATCTCTAATTTTGTGTGTGTCTGGCTTGAGAGATCGATATGCTTGAGGTTAATGGAGATTACTATGGGTTTGTTTAAATTCGTTTTTTGTTGTTTGTGTAATTCGAAGCTGTTAAGAATTTTCCTTTGTTGCACCAGAGCTAGGACACGCAGCTATACTTTGCAAATTTCGTAAGAGAACAAATGAAACAAGGTACGTATGTGTTAGCTCTCAGAAAATTCATACTTGATCCATAGAAGTTTTTTTTGGGTTTGAATGTGTCTCTGGCTGTAAAAGAAAATAGAATTGTATTATGAAGCTCTATGAGTGTCAATTAAAGTGTCCATCTTTAAGTTGTAAATAAGACTTACATACAATCTCAGAGATACCTTTGTGGATATATTTAGCCGGTGAGCGATTCTAAAAAAAGTGCGATAAATAAAATTAAATGGCGATCAGAAACTCTTACTATGTGGGTATGTGTTATGTTTTAAAATCATTTAGTCTCTATTGAACGATTTTTTAAACCAAGAGGCTTAAATTTGATGGTTGGATCAACGATTGGGTTTCATGGCTGAATACATTCAGGAGATAAAAGGAAATCTCTGTCGTCAATATGTTCAAATCGAAACAATTACATCTTATTCACAATATTTGTCTCTAATGCTATCGAAGTTACAATAAAACAAGCAATAGTACTTAAGGTTCATTCCTACAGTTTTCATTGACAATAAAAACTCAATTTTGATATTTGTAATAGAAAAATGTAATTTAAATGGTTTCAAACTTTACGATGTACTCAACAAAACAAATTAGTTTTTGTATGAATAACCCGCGCGTATGCGCGGTTATTGGCCTAGTATATACTAAAGAAATAAGAGGGCAAAATATAATAGAAACGAGTTTACTCCAAACGTCAATGATTGAACAACTGATATTTATTGTATGTGTGAACATGTAACATCTAGGGGTGGAATTATTATCCGGGATCCGAGATCCGATCAGTTATGCGTTCGGATTTGTTTCGAAAATTAGAATATCCAGGGAAGTTAGATCCGAATAAAGATAGTAAAATCTAGGATCTATGAAAAGAAGATCCAGATAGCAAAATTTTAAGGTTCGAAATCATGATCTGGATCCGGACGCAT